TACTCTTAACTCTTTTCAACATTGATTTATTTTGTATAAAAATAAAATAATAGTTACTCTTCAACCTCCCAGATTGTTATAACTGTAAAGGGTAACATATATGGAATATATTTGTATGTTTCATTGTACATGTAGGTGCTATGCATGTATGTGCATTAACAAAATTTTATCTTTAGCGTGATCTCATTTTCTGGTGATTATAAGGATACCTAAACCAAAAAGGACCACTGAAGACTTTTACTATGGAAAACCTGGTAAAGAAGACTGTGTTAATGAAAATATTATTTTTAGTCAATATGATATAATTTCCTAGTTGTCTTCTTTATAAGAAATTATTGTCATCACATTGGCGTTGTATTTCATGTAGTAATTGAGTCTACATACAAGTTATGAAATTATTTTCAAAATTATGCAGTCCTCAATCTCAAAATACTAATTAGAAAAAATCCTGAGGAGAATCATAAAAGTAATTTTTACTGTTTGTTGTATAAAATTGGAAAATTAAAATCAAATAATATTTATTAATTTAGGGTTTTTTGAAAATTTACAAGCATATTTATAAAATATATCCAGCTAAATGTATGTATAGAAGGAATCAAATCTGATATGGTAGATGAAATCATTCATTATGACAATTTGTACATATGATCAAATATGAAATATCTTTAAAAATCTATATTTCTACTCAGACACAGGTAAAACTAAGTTAAAGTTAGAAAAAGAAAACGGTCCTTCCTAACATAAAGCTCACATGGAAAATTTAAATGTTTGAGTGGCATTTATTATGCAAATAACATTGAACTGAAAAGAAATGAAAGACAATTGAATAAAACTGGATCAGACAAGGTTTGGCTTCTCTAGCAGGAGCTTGAGAATGCGATGGGTGGCCTGTGATTGGGGAACCTAGCCTTTTCTGTGCCATTCATGTGACTAAATGAAGAAAACTTATTCAGTCCTTTTCAACTGTGGTGCTTGCTTGAAGGAAAAAAGCTTTAGAATGTTCAAAACTGTGTGTCTATATTCAGTAGTAAACTCTTTTCTATACATTTTCACGAAAGTACTTAAACAGTGTATGTGAAAATATGTATCTGGTAGTTCTTTTGAAAAAAATAAAGGCTTTCAAGTTTCTATTGATATTGAGGTTTTTTTAAATAATTTTTTTCTCATAAGAGTGTTAAGCTATGCATGGATTAGATAACCCATGGGCAATATTCTCTTATCACAAAAAATATTTAGAATGTGAAAAATCAGACTTGCTGCCAAAATAACCACTATAAATATTTTCCTAATTGAAAAATAAACTTGTATATTTGCTAGAAAAATATTCAACACTATAAGTGCACAAAGGACTTTATTCTTGTATATTGATTAACTTTAAAATATTAAAATAAGTGGTAGAAAAGGGCTAGTGGTTTTTAGAAAAATAGGAAATTATCCTTGGGTTGCAGAATTACCAAAACAAGTATGTCAGCAGTATAATTAGACAATTGTATTGAATAAAAGGTTGTATCACTTCAATGAAGAAAATAAATGTAGGCTGGAGGGGAAAATTAAAAATATATATATTAATTTAAATTGATCACTTATCTCAGCATTCCGTAAGTGTTTTCTGAGTTGAAATAAATTACTCAATGTATGAAAGTAAAAACATAGATAAGTAAATTAACATAAAATAAAACAAGTCAATGTTTTCCATTTTCTTTATCTGAGATTTTTATTAGATTACATTTCAGACTTCTCACAAATGCTAAATGTAGCCAAGGATGACACTAATTTTTCCATTATTATACCATATTCTAAATTATTTCATTTTTCTCTCATAGGGATTAAATGAACCCAAGTTTATATTCTAAAAATACAAATTAAAATTATAAAACTGACCTCTCAGATCAGGAATGTCAGTGATATTTATTTGTCAATCACAGACTGGCCCTTCTTCTTACTTAAACTAGATACATTTGTCCAGATGGTATCTGACTCAAATTGTCTTGTACTGTTGCTCTCATGATCAGAATAGTATGGTTATCATTCATTTCTAAGTTTCTTATAGAGTCTCCTGTTTTATTAAAGGATACAATTTCTTTTCCTTTTAACTTTTTTTATTGATTTATAATCATTTTACAATATTGTGTCAAATTTAAGGATACAGTTTCTATATGTCATTAGCACTGCTATTTAAACCTACCAGTTCTAGCTGTGGAGTGGCCTCTTCAAAGACATGTAGATGTAGTGAGATTCTGAATATATATTGTTTACCTTTTTTATCTCCATGTCATATACATAACAGTCATTTGCAGATCAGGGGAAAAAGGGACAAGAAACATAGAGAAGATGCAGAGTGGTGATTAACCCCCAGAGGGAATTATTAAAATAAACATGCTACTTAGTTGCCCACAGAGTTCAGAGCAAGGACTTATTCTCTCATTATTTAAGTGGATTGTGAATTCACCACATGTATCAACCATGTAGACTTTCTCTAATAAGTGCTTTCCAGAGAAATCACTAACTCAAATGTTTTGGTTGGTAGAAAGTGAGCCCATTTGTAGAAAATGGATCTATTAAAGTTGATGGGCTTGAGAAAATTATAATTCTGTGAATTTGATTTCATCAATCTGAATAGTTATAATCTGATAACTGAATCATTATTCAATTAAAATTAAACAGTGTCCAGACAGAGCATGGCATATGAGGAAATTCATACACTATAGACAAGTTTTTAACATAGAGAAAAATCTCCTTTTATTATAGAAGAGAAGAAGAGAGAGAGAGAGAGCACACAGGCTCATGATCTAGAAGAATCAGGGGAAGCTTTCACCATGGTGATCAATAAATGCTTATGGGTAATCAACACGTGATTAGTTAGTGGCATTTAGCAGTCAACCATTCTAAAGATTTAGAATTTCATGTAGTCCTTTACAGTTATGTTTAACCTCATGACGGCTCAACAGTATTAAAGGAAAATCATGGAAGTGACTATAGTAAAATTTTTATGGCAAAACAATGTAATTAAGCAAATAAAATTCTAAAGGCTGAGTAGCAATACATGATTGCAGATGAGTTTGCCTGCTTGAGGAAATTTTCTGTATTTATTCTTATAGTTCCTTAATTATAATCCTCTTGAAAAGATTACAAGGAAGTGAGGGTTGTAGGTATATGATAAATGCAGTGCCACAGCCTTTCCAAAGCACATAGCAGACATTGCTAATATATTTCTCACTCTTTCTCACTGAGCCTCAGAATTTTTTTCGATTTAATTCCCCAGGCAGCCACTAGCAATTATAATTACCATGAAAACAAAATTTAAAAAATATTTCTGCTAAGGAGATGTATGCCACAATTTAGTGAGGCATTTGAGGGGATATTTGCAAGAGAGGAAAGGATTTTTAAAAATAGAAGTTAGAAATAATAATATGAGCACAATATTGATGTCCAGACTAGATTAACCATACCAGTTGGTAAGGATGGTACACATAGAATTTTTTAGAATAAGTCTGAAATGTTAAGAGCACACTGTCTAAGGCCAAACTAAAATAGAGCAAAAAAAGAGAAAGGAATAAGGAAGGAAAATAAGTAAGTTTGATATTCCAGGTACATTGTTTTGTAAAATAAAGGATATCAAAGAGATGGTACCCAAGATGTTTGCATTAATCAGATTTTATCTCTGTCTTTGGAAGGCCTCTTTGCAACGTTTCCTTAAACTCGCTGTTTGGATCATTTAATAAATAAGGCTTACAACCTGAAAGCAGCCTACTAACTGTTCTCTCCACTTTCACTTTTGTTACCATTTATTTGCCACTTAAGAGGGCAGATCTTCATCAGACTTTAAAAGTATGTTGAATCTATTCCCTCCTGTTCTCAGAACAGTTTAATGGCTTTATATAGCCAAAATAAAGGATCCCCGAGGTCTGACTATTCTGGTCTTTTCCTTTCTGTAAAATCTCAGCATTGGTCTTTCTTTTTTTTAAAACATCAACTTCTCTCAAAAAGGTCTGCCTTCAGTACCTACCAGGTCTTTCTCACTTTACAATATCTCTGAATACTGGCCCTTCTGCCTGGAATGCTCTTTTCCCCACTCAGATTCTTCAGTTTTCTTTTTGTGTTGGTTTAAACATCTCTTCTTTAAAGTGGTCTTCTGATACCACCACATTTAACACAGATGCTTCCTCTTACTCTCTCCAGGGCAGAGAACATGCCTGTGAAGTTAACCGTGTATCTGTATTGCTTGGGACAGTATTTTGTACCTAGTAGATATTTTTTAAAATGTTTCATAAATGACAGAATTCAGTTAAAAGAACATTGAGTATCCATGCTACCTATGGTAACAAGATACAAAATGCAGTTAATAGTTTTAATCTTTAATATTTCAATTTTATTGACTCTTAAAAATTTTTTGGTATGCAACTTTATGTTTGGCATGTTTATTTCTAGGCATATTTTGAAATTCTATTAAGAATAATTAGCCTATTGAGATCATACAATGGAACAATATTCTTCAAATTCTTATTCAAATCACAACTCCTCTGTGAAGACTCGGTATGCTTGACATACATTGGTAGATATTTTTAATACCAATTAAGTTACTACATATAACTTTAGAAATGAAAATTTATACTAAACACCATATAATGTGTCATCTTACTAAAGTTTCATATTTTCACAGATTGAGTTACTGAAATACAAAATTTTTATAAGAAGACATACTTATATATATTACATTATGTTTCTTCTTCTTAAATGCTTATATATTTTAAACATTCATCAGATATTCCCTTAATTCTAAGGTAAGGAGATAAACAGTTAATGAATGCATGCTTATATTTGTGGTATGAACACTTTCCATTAGTGTTTTAAATAAAAATTATCTTCATAATTCCACATATTTGGAAGGAAGAAAACTGATATTATTTAAACATCCATTTCAAATATTTGGATAAATATTTTAAGACTCAAGACCACCAAATAGCAGAGAATGCAAAACAATCATTTGTTACAGAGATAATTTAGTGGGTGAGCCAAGAAACCATATGCTGCTTGCTCAGTCTCTTCATAGCTGCCTTCATTTCCTGATTCCTCAGAGTATAAATAATTGGATTAAGGAAAGGGGTGATTATAGAGTAAAATATGGAAAGAAACTTATCTACAGAATAGCTATTAAACGGGAAAGCATAGATGAAGATAGCAGGACCAAAGAAGAGAGTGACCACAGAGATGTGAGCAGATAGTGTGGACAGAGCCTTGGAGGATGTGCTGGAGGAGTGTTGCCAGATGGTGACCAGCATGAGAATGTAGGACATGAGCAAGAGGAGGAAGCAACCCAGGGACAGGAGTCCACTGTTGACAACCACCAAGAGCTGTAGAGTGTAGGTCTCAGTGCAGGCCAGCTTGATGACCAGGGGAAGGTCACAGAAGAAGCTGTCCATGACATTGGGGCCGCAGAAGGGCAAACCCACTGTGAAAACCATCTGGCTCGTGGTATGCATGAGCCCAACTGCCCACGAGAGCAGCAGTAACCCAGTGAGCACCTTGTGACTCATGATGGTCTTGTAGTGCTAAGGTCTGCATATGGCAGCATACCTGTCAATGGCCATAGCTATCAGAAGAGACATCTCTCCACCTCCAAAGAAGTGCATAAAAAACATCTGAGTCATGCAGCCCCACCAAGAGATGGTCTTGCGTTTTCTGAGGAAGTCTGAAATCACTTTTGGAGTTGCAGCAGAGGAAAGACATAAGTCAAAAAGTGATAAGTTTGCCAAAAAGAAATACATGGGGGAGTGAAGATGGTTATCAAATATCACAGAGATCACGATGAGGAGGTTTCCTACTATGATGGCTACGTAGATGAGAAAGAAGATTGCAAAAAAGAGTATTTGAATTTCTTGAGAACTGGAAAGTCCCAGCAGGATGAACTCAGAAACACCTGATGTGTTATCCAGGAGATCCATTCATCCTTTTGCATGAGTCCTGTCAGAAGTTGTCTGAAAGGGGAAAACACATAGGCTATGACAGGTCAGGGAACTTAGTCTTTATTTAAGCATCCTCTTTCTTATTAGGGCAACAACCATTTTGTCAATAGGACTGCTTTGTAGGTGTTTTTCAGTTGGAGATATTTCACAGACCACCGTAAAAGTGTGATGGGTCTGGATCCAACTAAGTCATATTAGTCTCTTGGTTAGTACAGGGCAAGCTCAGTTAGACACTTGAGAAAACTCATCTCCCTTCATGTTCAGCTCAAGATCACACTGTGCTTGAATAGTTAGTTTAGGAGAGTGATCGAGTTTTCAGAAGCATCAGGTTTTTATCTTTTGTGGATGTGTCTCAGGAACTTCATTTACTGACACATTTTTGTGACATGCCCAGTATGCAATGAAAAGTTTGCCATATTCAAAATTGCTGAAATCACATGATGTCCATTACGCGTCCTGAAGTGACCTAAGTAGAGACTCTGATTATGACATCTTGTTTATAGAAAGTTGGATGTTGAGACAGCCGCATAGTTTACTGAGAGTAAACTGAAACATTGAGGTTTGAGATTTGAATGACCCAGGTTGACTCTCAAAATTACAGATGCTCATTTCACATATTGGCTAACTCTTCTGTTGATGTGGTCAGACAAGTAAGTGTATCCCTTCTGTGCATTCTTATCCAACCATTGCAAATTTGGATCAAATGACCATTTTTATCAGTTGTTTGTTTTTAATTTTGTATATTTTTACATATAATGAGTGTACCAAAATACCAAAAACACTTACATATAAGGGGACTAGGTCAGTATCAATCTGCATAAATCTACTTATTGTAGTGTCTCTTCTGTTTGTCTGATTTTACCTTTATTTTTCCAATCTTATTCCAGGCTTGTTGATCATCTCCAGTCTTTTCTTCTTTATCAAAGCCTAGAGCAAGACTTAATACCAATATTAGAGATGAAAACAGGATATATGTGATTCTGGAGTGGGGGTATATTTAACCTTTTTATCAGGCAGTTTAAATTTTAGAGATACAGTATGTTATGTTAACCATAATGAACATTTCATTGTATGCACTTTTGTATGTAAAGTTGCTATCAGAAACACACACATTTTATCGTGCCCCATACTCTAACCATTATTTTGACACTGTCACACAGAGTAGCATTAAAACTTCCTTCTTTCAGATAGTAATAGAGTGGAGAATGTAAATCTTTGATAGTTATTCACACAAGGGACTCTTCATTCCTTCTTTGTGTTTTATAATTCCTCCTTAATGCAAGACAATTATTTTATCTAAGCTATAGCCTCTGAACCTTACCTTCTGTGTTTCTCTAAAGTATGCAAATTAGTAGGTTTGTAGGTGCTCATTAACTTGACAAAGATAAGGTCCTAGAACAAAGCAATTTCTTTCTCCCTCTCTTTTATATAGATTGATGTTTGTTTAAATATATGGCCTTTTCCAGACTGCTGTGGTAGGATATTTCATCACATATTCCTTCCTATAATTCCTAACGTGTAATGATAGCATCATTATTCTGTAAGTGGTGACATGATTTTCTAAGCCATGAATCAGGCATTTTATCCTTGCAGTTCTATTACTTATCTCTCTTTAAGAATAATTGCATTCCTAGAAACAAATATGCAATTATCCCTATATTGTGCAGTAATTCAAAGAAAAAGTCATTCAGTCTGATTGGTATAGGCAAACAATTTAAATATATGTTGAAAATACATGCTTTTCTCGAAGAACAGTTTATTTGGCCTGCATTGCTGTATTATTATCTTAATTCCCAGTAAAGATCTTTCCAATGATTTTTTTTGTATCTTTTTTCCATTTGTGTAAAAATCAGTTTTTTTTCTAGCTTAATTTCCCCTTTCTAGCCCTCCTGTCAGTTATTATCTTGGCATTTGAATTTTATCACCAAATGAGCACAGTTATATTGTAAATGAGAGTGGTGTGATAGATGTGGTATACAGGTAGAGTAACATGTCAAGATTATGTAACCTACCAGTTGCACTTGGACTTCAGAAGTAACATCAGCATGAAATCCTGGATACTTAACCTTTATCATCTAGTGATTTATTTTCTGCTCTGAACTTCAAGAGACAATAGTATATAAAGGTATCCCTTGATAGGAGACATACAGGAGAAAACTCATTTGATTGTTTTAGAGTCCTCAGAGACTGGCAGTAAAAGTAATTGGGATTGTTAAAAGAGACTTTTGCCATTACAGAAAATGAGACACCATTTTTTAACCTCACACGTTGACAATACCTTAAAGACATCAATCAATATTTAGAAGGTATTTGAAGATGTCACTAGCGGTGAATTACAAGATTTTTGTATGATGCTTTTTCTGTTGTTGTAGTTTAGCTTCTAAAACAGGCATGAGAAATGTTATATTTAGCTAAAGATAGATGTTCTAGTTTATTTTAATTCTAAATTTTATTGTTTGAAATTTTCACATTTGAAGTTAAATCTGTTAGAATTTATTTATAAATGACATGAGGTAATGTTTCTATCATTCTAATTAAATAATAATTTATTCCACTAATAATTGTTATGCTTTTTTAGAGCTTAGTAAATTTTCAGATAGAACAGGCTCTTTTTCAGGTTTATTCCTTTTCCCCCTTGTTTTACCTGCCAACATTTGGGGAGGTACTGCATGCTTTTACTCATTGTGTTTGATCATATATTTTAATGTATGGAAAGGCAAGTCCTCTCTCGTTGCTTTATTTATTCAAAGTGTTCTTTATTTTCATATTTTTAAATTCTAAATTTAATTGACTTGTTTTCTAAAGTTAAAACAAGTTCCACTGGTTATTTTGATTTCACAATATTAAGCTTATAAGAAATGTAGAAAAAATGAATAGAACTATAAAATTGAGTATTACAGAAAGATTTTTATGTCCCGTTAAATATTTGCCTATTTTTATGACACAACAAACTTTTGTCATCTTCAGTATTTGAGCACTTTATTTTGGTAACACATTTTTTAAATTAAATGCAGTTTTGCATATTTCTCAGTTTGACTACTACATTTAAATATGAACTTTTTCCTTAGCATAGTTGATTTTATTGCTGTTGATTTCATTTTTACATATTTAAGTCATAATTGGTATTATGAAATCTTATTTCTCGTTTTTTTCTAGTACATTCTCTTCTGTGTCTTAGTTTACTGATAAAGTGATCTCCAGACATTAATAACATTTTCATATTAATTTTCTTGAGTGTTGTTACATTAGCTGGAACTTTAGCACAATATGGAATAACAATGATGGTAACTGGCTATGACAGAACTTGTTAGCTTTCCAACCATGACTGTCTTCTTTCTTCATAATGAAACCTCATTTTCTTGGGATCAATTGCCTGTGCACTTCACTGGAGTCTCAAACCCTGTCCAAAATGCTCCATCTCACTGGCCTCAACCAATTCCAGTGCCACCATTTTCCTCACCAGTGTCTGGTTTAGCAGTAGCAAAGACCACATTGCAGAGACTGCTCCTGTCTGCTGAGTAGCGTGCTCCCATTCTTTGTTAGTAACAGAAAGTTGAATTCATTTAGAGACATTATACAGCCTCCCTTGCAATTAGAGTGGCAAATAACATGAAAGAAAAAGTATATCGAGTAGCCACTTCGTGAAAATTCTCTATAGGGGCTGAGTCAGTGAGTTATGCTATTTGCTTCTCCGTAAGCTGCTATTTTCTCAGGTCTAATTTGGAAATGTATTTTTATACTAACATTAAACACTGTAAATATTTAGTTAAATGATGTTAAATATTGTATTTAAAACCAAAGGAATTCATTTAATTACTCAAGTGACACAATGGCCGAGATGCTAACTGGGAATGTTCAGGGGAACCAAAGGTGAGTATCAACTGGAAGCTCCCACCACATCTAAGCTGTGGGTGCAGGAGAAGAGGTAGTCCTACCACAGCCCAAGGGTGTGGGCATGCATTCATTTTCTTCTTCTTCTTTAACAAATTACCATAAACATAGGGACATCATCCAACACAAATTTATCATCTCAGAATCCTATAGGTTCAAAACAAAACCTGGATTTTGTCCCATTGGTCTCACTGGAACAAAATCAAAGTGTCAGCATAGTGCTATTTCTTACTGGATGCTTTGAGGGAGAATCTCTTCCCAGACTCATGCTGATTGTTTTCCCAATTCAATTCCATATGGCTGTAGAATGACCTTTCTGTTTCCTTGATGATTTTCAGACAGGGGTTACTCTCAGTTTCTAAACGGTGCCTGTATTCGTTGGTCATGGTCTCATACTCCTCAAAGCCAGGACAGTAGATTGAGGACCTCCCATGTCTCATTGTTCCTGACTTCTTTAGTGCCCCATCTATCTCTTTTTCTGCAGACATGAAAGGTTCAGCACTTTTAAAAACTCATGTAATTACACTGGGCCCACCCAAATTATCCAGAATAATCCCCCCATCTCAGAGTTTATAAACTTAATCACATCTCAAGATTTCTTTTTGCCATGTTAAGGTAACATATTCAGTTTCTGTAAATAAGCTCTTGTACTTCTTTGGGAAACCATTATTCTGCCTATAATAGCTTATATACAAAAGTTGGAAATGTGGTGGCGTTTTCCATCAGAAAAGCTGGAGCCATGAAAGTGATGCATAAATTTCAGAGTGAGCCATACAACTACTGCAGAGGTATGGACTAAAGCTGTGTGTGTGTGTGTGTGTGTGTGTGTGTGTGTGTGTGTGTGTGTGTGTGTGTATTCTTCTTTCTCCCTTCCTCCTACTCTCCATTAATCTACCACTGCCACTCATCTGTCACCATCTGGACATCAGGTGACATAAAGACCTGGAAATGCAGTCTTCATAGATTAGGGCTCCCTAAAATACAGAACAAATTTGGAGAAATGAAAATAATGAATTGGAAGGAAAATAAGCCCATAATGACGCAAACTCTCTTATTCATTCTGTCTGGAACACAAGGGTGACGTGTGGAATTCCTGAAGACATTTTGTGACAAATTATTTTAAAAAAAGAAGCATGGAGAGAAAATGTTTTGGACTCCCTGCTGACTATGTGGAACTGCTATAATCAACATATATACTGCTAGGTGCAAGTTTGTTTTCCATGTCCACAGTCCTTTGACCATCAGTACTCTCTGAGGACATACAAAGTGTTAAATCTATGGAGAGTTTTATTATAATTTAGTTAATTAAACTTACTTTTCAGTAAAAGAGATTCAAGACTTGACCAGTGATCAGCTATCTACTTGCCTTAACTCATTTACTGTATAACAGAGAAGGTACTGTGCTGGGTAATAGGGCATTAGAGCAATCATTTGCTATCACAGCTAAAGCATCAATTTTTAGATTGTATGCTGCTGTCTTGGGATGGCTTCTCTAGGAGGCAGTATACACTTTTAATCAATGACTATTATAGATTATTTGTCTCCAATGGTAAGAATCTACAGGCCTGGGGACTAGAATATTCCCTTGTGTATCTTCAATTCCTGTAACCCCCCTGTAGAATTTGTGCTTTCTTTTCCCACAACTTTAGACTCTAGTTGTAGAAGTTCAGAGACATGCTTTCACTGGTAGATGCATTAAGATTTGTATTAACTTCAAGCTATTGCTGCTACTCAATTACTACATTTTCCTTTCCAAAAGACTTGAAGGCAAGGAAAAGTATCACCCTCCAAAGAGTATTTACCTTGATCATCAGAAGAAGAGGTAGTACTGTTACTATAAATGGTTAAGTAGAGTCATGGAGGATAAAAAAAATCCAAGTTGAAAGATGGAATTGAACTATTCTATTTGTGATGTGAAAATGCATTGGATGCTATTAATGACAGAGATGACATTGCAGAAGAAAAGATTAGTGAACTTGAAAACAGCAATAGAACTATACAAAATAAAACAAGAAGAGAATAAAAGATAATAATATCTTTATTATATAAGTCTCTTTAAAAGCTAAATGACAATGCAAGGCAAAAGTAATAAAAAATATTGTTGAATGTATTATCTCAGTAAAAATAGATGCTAAATATAAAGCAACACAAATGCAAGGCTGATAGGAGGTAGTAGAAAGTACACTGTTGTAACTTTCTTATATGATACCTGGAAAGATAAATTTGAAGTTAGATTCTGATAAGTTAAAATGTACAGTATGTATTTATAACTCTAAAACAACCACTAAAAATCACAAGAAAAAGAGGTAACTAATAAGCCAATATTATTAATATGAATAAATTTAAATAAGTAATATAAATAATAATAATGATGATGATGATATAAAATAACACTCAAGTATCCAATAGAAGGCTGAAAAAGACAAATCTGGAAAAAAAGATGAAACAAATATAAACTAGAAAGTTTGTCAATTTCATCTAAACTTTATAATCATGATATATGTAAATGGCTTAATAACCCAATTAAACACAGCTACTGATGTATTGGATAAAATATATGTTACAGACAAGAAGGCATCATTAAAAATAAAGACATAGATTAAAAGTAAAAGTTTAGGAAAAAATATGCTACTACATTACTGCTTTACTAAACTGTGGGTATTAGTTTGCTATTGCTGCTGTAACAAATTACCACACACTTAGTGACTTAAAATAGCAAAATTTATTATCTTACAATTTTTAGGTCAGAAGTCTGATGCTCATCTCAGTGGGCTAAACGCATAGTGTTGACAGAGTTGCATTCCTTTCTGGAGGCTGTAGGAGAAAATCCGTTTCCTTGCTTTTTTCAATTAAATGAAAAGAAAGCAGAAAAAGTGGAAAAACACAAATATGAAACATCTGGCAAGAAATCAAATTTTAATCTAACCATATGAATAATCTCATTAAATGTAAATTATCTTTGCTTTTTTGCAACAACTGTCATGCATTTGTATTTGTGTGTATAATATTTATATGTCATATATATGACAAGTCCCAGAAGATATCTGTTTTTTGTACAATCATTATTCAGTGTGTACTTATTTACATGTGTCAACATAGTTTACAATCTACTTCTTTATTCTTTCCTTCAAATTAGTATTTCCCTCCTGGATTATTTTCTTTGACCTGAAGAACTGCTATCAATATTTAGTTAGTGGCACTTCTTAGACAACAGATTTGCTAATTATTGTTTTTCTGAAAATGTCTTTATTTCACCTCACTTAAAGACTATGTTTTAATATCCTATAGGCTTTTAGGTTGGTATTATTTCCTTTCAGCACATTAAAGATGTTACTCCATTGTCCTCTGGATCTGATGTTTCTATTATGAAGAAAGCTGTCAATCTTTCTGTTGTTCCTTTGAAATCAACGTGCATTCCTCATCCCAGAGGCATCTAAGAGTAAAATTTTTTAATTTTCACCTGTCTTATATTGATGTGTTTGGGTGTTTTATTGGTCTTTATTCTGCTTAAGGTTCATAGAGTTTTTGTTTATGTGGATTGATGTCTTTTATCAGTTTGTAAACAATCTTGGTGATTATCTCTATGTCTCTTCCATTCTCCCCTTTCCCTATCCTGCTCGACTTCAACTGCATGTATGTGAGGCATTTTCATTGTATCCCACAAATCTCTAATGTCATTTCCTGTGTATTCCACTTTTCTTCCTATTTGCGTTTCAATTTAAGTATTTTCCATTGACTTTAACTTCCAGTTTACTTTTTATGTCTTTATCTGTGCTTAATCTGATTTTAAACTCATCTAATATTTTTATTTCAGATTTTTTTTAAATTGTAGAATTTCCTTTCAGTTCTTTTTATGGATTCCAATTCTCAGTTGAAATTCTCTCTCTCTCTTTTTTAACATTTTTACTACACTTTTTCTTGTGTTATCTTGAATATACTAATAGCTATAATTATGTTATTTTTATTTACTTTTATACTCTGGATAATCTCTGGTTATATTTTAGTTATCCATCTTTTTCCTCTTACATTTCAATTATATATTTTTATCTTTTGGTATTTCTAATAATTTTCTATTAAATTATGGGTATTTTTATTAAAAATTATAAGTTATATAGGCTCTAGATCATGTTACTTGCCCCCAAAGAAGGTTCATCCATCTTGTTATTAGATCAGTATAGTGGAGGTTAA